AGAAGCTCATACTCATTCTCTTTCACTTACTCATTTAATAACATTTGAGAAAGCAGCAGTTAGCAAACCAGAGAGCTTATCTGAGAAAGTGAATCTGTCAATACCTTAATCTTAAACTTTCCAGCCTCTATACTGTGATTTCTAAAATTTCTATTAACTCACTCAGTTTATATATATTGTTATGGAAGTTTTGGCAGAATAAATCATGCAAATCTTACGTGGCTCTAGTTATCACCCACAAATCACTGATCAAAAAACCAAGGAGTAAGAAACAGTTAAAGGTCAGTATCACTCAAAGATATCAATCCAAATAAAAATCATATGATTCTATTTTTCATTCATCGTGTCTGCAACAACTAGTATTTAGGCAATGTCGGCAAAGACAAAATATAGGCAAGTTTATGAGGAGAAAGTTTAACTGGATGGGAATGTAAACTGGTCCAACCCTTACTGCTGGCAATCTTGACAATTATGTCAAAATTTAAAATACATCTGAATCTAGGATGATGTGCCAGAAACAAGCAGAGTTGGGGGGAACATTTTTGTGGTGGGGAAGCATGATGTTTTGGTGTTGGAGACTAGACAGGTTGAAGAAGTCATCCAAATAGTCGAGTGAGGAGGATACAGGGGTGGCAGGGCAAAGAATGTAGAAGCCTAAGTGGTATAAGGACATCTCTCTCTGGGTGGAGGTACAAGACTGGCTAATAATTGCACAATCCCACCTGTAAGTGAACATGACATGTAACAACAGTCCCCTGGTTAAGAACCACTAAGATATCTTAATTTGCTAGGCACAGTGAGTGGGCCTCAATTATTCCAGAATGCTGGTAGCATTAGGGAAGCACTTAATCTGTTGTCTGTCTCAACAAAGACTCCCATTAATAATAATGCCTTCTCCAGGAATTTCCTGAATGGGAGTTGGGAGAAGGGCTGTATAGTACTGTATTTAGAATTTGAACTTCTTCTGAACAAAACAGTTACAAGAGCTGAGAAAAATTATAGAATAGTTAGCATACAGATATTCTTTTGAAAATATCATTGCTGCTGGAAGCATACTTAATTTTATTTTAAATATGCTAAAAAGCTTTTCCTAAAAGAAAGAAACAAACAACAAAAGGCCCTCCCTGGTGGCGCAGTGGGTTAAAGAGCAGCACTAAGAAGCAAAAGCCACTTCAGCAAGAGTTCTATTGCCACCTGCCCCGGAGTGATATACATGGAGGTGATCCACATGGCATGGCAGACCTCTCCTGATCAGCTCACTGCTCCCCTCAGCAGTGTACTTCATCAATCTGCCTGTTCTGCTCTCAACTCTGTCTGGGGTGAAGCCTCTCACCTCTGGCCTGTACTCCTGTGCTGTATGCATAAATAAATAAATCTTTAAAAAAAAAAAAACCCTCTCAATTCTGGGACAGGAAGTAGGGAATAAAAGTATCTCCTCACTTTTACCCCTCCCACTTCTAAGTGTCAAAGAAAGCAGATCAATGGAAATCTAGAATACTTTTTCAATATATGTGTAATACGAAAGCTACTTTAAGTTTCAAAGAAACTATTAAGTATTTCAGTTTTAGAACCCACTCTACTACTACCAACTTAGTTATGGTCTTGACAAGTTCTATTTTCTCTAAACATTAATCAGCTTTCCAGCTTGAAAATTCTCATCAAGCCAATTTCCAAACATATAATAGTTATGCCCAGAAGGTTAAACATCTTTCTTTTAACAAAGCCTATTCTCAGTTAAATAATCAAGAAGTTGGAAAATGTACTTCATAAATATCCTAAACAAGATTTTTTTAAAACAGTTCCTGTATGCTGACCATCAGATCACACACACACCAACTAGAATAACTGTGAGGGGCTGTCAATTCCACAGAGAGCCACAGACTATGAGAAGGAAAAAGGCACATTTGTTCCTTTGTACCTACAGAGAATCATGCCATATACTATACCTCACATTGAAGAAGAGCTATTTAGAAGAGTGATCTCCATGAAAACCACAACATCTAAGTTTTCTTTTTTTTTTTTAAAGATTTATTTATTTGTGCATACAGAACTGGGGTACAGGCCAGAGGCTCAGGGGCAGTGAGAGGCTTCACCAGAGAGAGAGTGGGGAGCAGAACAGGCAGATGTAGGAAGTACACTGCTGAGGGGAGCAGTGGGCGGGTCAGGAGAGGTCTGCCGCGCCATGTGGTCACCTCCGGGGCAGGCGGGGATCGAACTCATGCGGAAGTGGCTTCAGCTTCTCATTGCTGTGCTTTAACCCGCTGCACCACCAGGAAGGGCCCCTAAGTTTTCTTTTTTAAATAAAAGTTCCCTTCCCTTAAAATGGCTAAACTGACACCCTAACAAACAAGTTCTTATCAGGGATGAGATGTAGCAACTACACTCCAAAAAGAGGAATAATCCATTAGTCAAGGAAGGATACATAATTTCAAGTGTTTTTTAGTAGGCTCTTAACTAAACGTTAGTATAGACAAAGGATATCATGTATTTTCTGTAACTTTGAGACTGAAGAAGGCCTTTGAAAGACCACACACAGACTAATAGGATTTTACAATCATCTCATTTTATTTGTTAATAAGTTTGTCAATAGTGTATTTATCATAAAGACAATAATAAGGAAGAAATATTTTAAAGACAAAATTAGAAAGTAATTCAGAACATTAGTAATTAAATTAAAATCTAAAATACTGAGAAGTATGCACAGGCCTCTGTTTTAAAGTGGTGTGTTTCCAACTTTAACGTGCACATAAATCTAGGAAGCTGGTAAAGTCCAAATTGATTGAGTAGGTTTAGGTTGAGATCCTATTTCTTATGAGCTCCCAGGTAATGCCAAGACTGTTGGTCTATGGAGACTAAAGCATAAGTAAGCAAATAAATGCAGTTCAAGAAAGGGTACTTCGGTGATATTTTAAAAAGTTTTTCTTTTTCTTTTAAATTTGCTATTTATTATCAGTATTTCTTTAGTAAATATTGGTTTCATCTATTTGCCTTGTTTTATATACAGGAATAACTCCCTAATTCAAACATAAAAGGAAAACCCACTAGAATGCTAAACCAAAGAAACATAGAAACCCAAACAAGGAAGTGATTTCAAATGTTACTTATTAGTCTAAACAAGAAGTTTCCTGAATGAGTAAGTTCTACATTTTCAAACTTGAAGAGGATAAAGTCTGTAAAATGACAAGTTAACAGGTGAGATACTAAATACTAATACCCTGTTAGAAGTCTCCTCTCTTCAGAAAAAAATATGCACTGCGTTTTTCTTATGACATTGAGATTTTTTTTCTACTATACACTATCCATATTGTGAATAAATTGTTGCTCACAGTATAAACACAGAACAAGAGCAAACTACATATTTTGTAAAAGCTGACTAAAGTTGCTGAGAAAAAATTAAGTGTATATCACATACAGCCATCTATTATTTTAAGCAATTCTCAACTATTAATTTTAAATACAGGTTCATTAATTTTACCATCTACTATGTGCCAGACACTTTGCTAAACGTTAAAGATAAAACATGGAGAGTCACACCTTTCAGATTTTAGGATGGCCATTTAATGGCAAGCTTGTTTAATAGAAGCCTCAGTTTATTCAGGGTTGTGGTAACTGGACTATGTACTAACTAAATTCCTAACATTGTACTGTGTGTATGATAAACATTGAATAAATTCTAAGTACTTGAAATATCAAGTTTGAATAAGAAGTGGATCCTGCCCTCAATACAACAGTTTCTACACTGCAAGATTATGCAGCCACTTGAAACTGGGGTAAAGAAAGCATGTTTGGACAGAAAATCCACTGTCAACACAAAAATAAACAATCCCCACAACATATAATGAATTCCAGAATTAAAAAGAAATGTGCTTTGGGTTAGTTTTTGAGTTTGGGTAGTATACATAGTAATGCCTTCTCCCACTAACAATAGAGTACACTATAAATAAAAAGAGCAAATGTTCCAGCTGTGTGGTTTTATGCACAATAAGATCATGATGGGGTACAGCTTAGGACAATTTTAGTTAAAAGGAAACTGCTTCATGTAACAGATTTGTACATCATTAGCCACAATTCTCTTCCTACCACCTTTGGAAAAGTTACCCTACAGTAACCTCCTTTTGTTACAAGTTACTTATCCTACACCTAACAATAAACCTAACCAGACGATTTAAATAAATAACAGCACAGCTCAAGAGTTTCAGAATTTTGGCTTCAGTTGGGGTCAGGTGTTATGTGACACTGTGCCAGACTCTTAACAGTTTCAAGCTTTAGTCCTTTTATCTAAAATGTAATAGCAGTACCTACTCGCTAGGTTTGTGAAAATTAATGCAAGCAAAGCACTTCGACAACCAACCATCCAATACATGTCAACTATGTGCTGTTACAACCAGAAAAGTGAAATTCCTTTCGGTAAGCATAAAGTTAATAAAAATGTAAAGGATTTTGGGTGTTGTAAGTCCTTAAGCCGTCGTTAGTTCGAAACTGACCAAAAACAGTGAAAAAACAAGAGTAAACTAAGTGTTCTAACAACAGCTGATCATCCCCCTCCCATTTAATAAAACCCATTTGTAAAGTCCTAAAAGTGAGTAGCTTTAACCAGGAACAATTTAATTCTGAAAAACTTAATGGCAATGAATGGCTGCTAAGCCATTATAAAGTAAAAGGAAAAATTGGTTTGTCGATGTGAAAGAGGTGGCGGGTACCCCGACTGACTGGAAAGGGAACGGCCCAAGCACCCTAGACACCGTGCTCGGAGCCCGGAACCACCACGGCTCCTCCCAATGAGGAAGCACAAGACTCGTTTCCCCGGCGAATACTAACGGAAGGACCAACAGAAGCGAAGCAGACAAACCGAGGACGGAATAAGCAGTCTCGAGAGGCCGCAGCGGGGGTCCAGACTTCCCGCCCACGCCCCAGGGCCCGGCCCTAACGCCCGCGTCGCTTCCATTTGGACGCCTGAGTCACCCTCCACGCGACCCAGAGGCCGGGGCCCACCCGGTTACCTTCGGCAGGGAACTCCTCAAACTCGTCGTCCTCCTCCAGGAGACCCAAGTCTACCGGCTGCTTTTTCTCTGACATGGCGACCCTTACGACCCCAAACCTCCAGGCCCGTGAGAAACTCGGATTCTAGCCTCTTCTCACCGCCGCTACCGCCTCACAGGCCAGCTCTACCATAGAGACGCTGGGAAAGAGCGACGGAAGTGGCGCGAGGGATGCTGGGATAGTGGAGGTCCGCCCAGCGCTGCCTGCGGGTTTAACCATCTTTCAGCGTTACTAAAGTGTATTATTTTGTTCCTTTCCCGTTTTATCCGGACATTCTGAGTTGACAGCCGTGAGAAATGTGTACGTGTCCCTGGGTGTGAAAGACTCATAATGTGGTGAAAGATTAAATGCCTTTACTTAGTCTGTGGGTGAGCAATGAAGTGTAGGCGAAGAGTCCTTAAAGGCCCCTTAAATACAGGGCCTGTAACATTGTCTCTTTCCTTAAACCAGCTCCCTAATAATGGTGTTAAATATTTCCACGTCGTAGGAAATTCAGGTTCGGAAAAAAGCAACCAAGTAGTTACACACAATTAAAATACAGGCCGCCTGTTATAACTCTCCAGACTTTTTCTTTATTTAATGTTTCTCTGACTTAAAATCGCCCTGTGGTGAATGCCCTGTTAGTGTATGTAGGCGTTGTGTAATAGTTAATTTACAAGTTGTAGTAAAATGATACTGTGTCAAGTGCGATGTTATATATATTTTGAAATTTTCAAATATTGAATACCATTTCGACTATGGTTGTGAGCTATTTGAGATTTATATTGTGTGTATATGTGTAATACGTGAATATTATATGAAATCCTAAACATTTTGATACAAGTGTTTTCTCTGTATACTTCAGTGGCACTCTTATTCAACAATATATTAGTGCATATCATGTACTTGGCACTGTGCTAGAAATCATGCAAGTGTAGACAAGGCCCTTCTAAAGGAGCTCATATTCTGCTCAGAAATATGTAAATAGATAGACTTGAGTCTCTATTTTAAAATAAAGTTATCCTAGAAGTAAAGTATGTGTGGGAATGAACCAACTAAAACAGCACAAATTTGGACCAGAGTTTGGCAACTGAAAATAGATGAATTTTTTTAAAAATAAGCAGGCACTTTCAATACTATATTTATATTGATTACTGGAAATTTTAACAGTCTTCAATTTCTAATCAAACTATATGTAATTTGGCATATTATATAAATGCCAAATTAATTTAAAAAAGTTGAAAATCAAAAATAGAAGGAAAATATAGACAAGTATATTGTAATATATTTCTTCATATTAAAGTATATCTGTAAGACAGCATTGTAATGGATTTCTAATAGTTGCTGTGTGGGCTGATAAAATCTTCAAAATGAGCAATGACAGTTATAAAACATAGTAATATACTAAAACTCACTGAAGTACACATGTCAAAATGGTGAATTTTATGTGAAGTATATTTTAATTTTTAAAATGCTATAAAAAATTCACCAAGGAGTCAGGAATCCCAAGTTCTAATTCCTGGACCTTTAGTTTATCTGATAATATAGTGACATTTGTGACAATTTTTTGTGAAAAAAAGGAATCGATGTTGTAGTGATTTTTCCCCTAAAATATTTTAAATTATTTCTGTAATTAAATAAGATATATATGAATATTTGATATTAAGGATTAATTAAAAAACAGCAATACTTTTATGTTAAGCCCTCAATTTTTAAAAAATTTGCTGGTTCTCTAAGTCCAGAATGCTGAAACCACCAAAAAACTTCTTTTAATTATCATGCCTCAGGCACAATGAGTAATTTCTCATTTCACATGGGAAAATGTTATTAAAGTGTAAGAGATATTATTGCTTAGTTAAATTAAGTATATAAGAATCCATATTTGATGAAGGAATATATAAATCAGGTTTAGGCAAATTAACTTCTCTAAAGTGTAGTTTATTAGCTTGCAGAGTTATAGTGATAATTGAATGAGATTTTACTCAGTAAGTGGCATGTAATAATGGATCAATGCAACTTAACTATCACTAAATAAGGAACTTAAATTTAAAATTATCTCACATTTTCCAAACCTATACCAGTCCTAAAAGCCTGTGTGAATTTTATTTGGCAGTACTTTTCAATGAAATCAGTACTTTCACAAGCTAGTGATAATAATGAAGACAATATCAATTGATTGTTAATAATTATTGAATAATAATTTAAAATATATTAATAGTTATTATTAGTAATTATTCTATTATTATAGCTAGCACGTGCTTAGTTTTTTCTGTTATCAGGCACTGTGCTGTGTGTACTTATTTATTGAATCCCCTTAACAATCGACCTATTAAGTGAGGACAATTTAGATCCATTTTAGACTTGAAGGAAATAAGGCACAGGAAGTTTTAATGTGACTACAGTGCTAGAAAATGTTGGAGCTATTACATTCTAAGGATTCTATAAAGGACAAGAAACATACTTTTCCAGTGTTTTGGATGCAAGAACTCCCCCAGAATTTTTTTTTTACTGACATTACTAAACCTGTAAGAAAATGGCAAAAATATCACTATTACTGAAGTACTGAGTGCAAAGAGGAAGGATAAAAGAAAAAAAATGAATGCTAAGATCAACTTAGCTCTCCATGGCTAGGGAATCTCTACAATTCTAATGAGAAGAATTAAGTCAAAACTAAGTTATGCCTTTATCTATATATATTGTATCTTAATTGGTTGGTTATGTTTAACTTCACAGTGGGAAATCCTTTTATAGTAGATGATTCCATTTGTCCCAAACAAATCTTTTTTTTCCCCTAAAGTTTAATTTGGGCTCTATATAATATGCATTGCACCATAAACATTGAATCCCTAAGTGACTATTCAATAATGACACAGAATAAGTTATAGAAGTTGATCTATCTGCATCTGTTACAGAAAGATATGGCAAAGAACTGTTAAAGGACTGATGTTTGGAAGAAGCACTTTTTCTTAAAACCCCTTCAGTTTGATTTGGGAGGGCCAGCCAGCCAGCCATGAAGAACTACAGAGACAGACCTACACTTCAAGTCTCTGATGTCTTTTCATGGTATGTAAAATGCTTTGGCTCCATATACCCTACCTGAGTTCAAACTCAGGTTCTGCTACTTACCTGCTGAGGAACCCTAGAAAATTACTTTCCATCTTGGACCTCAGTTTACCCAACTTTGAAATGGGAGTAATGAATTACCTTTCTTAAGGTTGTTATGTGGATTAAATGAGCTGTTTCATTAAAACACTTAGGAAGGTGTCTTACACATGGTAAATATACAACAATTAGTATTATAATAGATTGAAATAAGAAAGGATGATAATGCAGATTACAATCCTTTAAGAATGCATAAAACTCAAGATTAGAAGAAGAGTTTACTATTTCCAACAGTCTCAATGCTTGTCAGTAGGAAACACTTCTGCTGTGCTATACCTATCTTCATCTCCCTTTTCTAGCCTCCAGAACACAGCCATTTATCACAGCTTTTCACTGAGGTGACTAAGGGCAAATATTAAATGAGATTAAATCTATAAAGCTAGTTTGCAATACAGCTTCAGTAAACTCCTCTGTTCACCAGGTCATAACATTTAGGTAGCTACTAGTCATCAAAATTACATATATATTTTGATTAATACAAGTGTAACTCCATAACATGGAAATTTGAAAAGGAGGGAGAAACCACACTTAATTTACCCATCTTTGAAGTGGGAGTAATGAAATTACCTTTCTCAAAGTAGTTGTGTGGATTAAATGGGCTGTTAAATGTAAAAACACTCAGAAAGGTGTCTTACACATGGTAAATACACAACTAGTATTATTATTGTAGTTTGAAATAAGCATTACAGTAATGGGAATAAAATACGGAAAGTGAGGAAGACTGGGGTCTTAAGGAAAGTAGAGATTGGGATATCTTTTATAGAAGATCTCTTATTTCATATAAACCCATAGCTCCCAATTCAACTTTTCAGGTTTTCTCGACCTTTAAAATCTACTCACTTTCATCTGAAATGGGTCTTGGTGGTGTCTTCTGTGATCTATTGTTTTACTATGTGTTGTTTTTTGGCATTGAGAATATTTAACATAAAAACCACATTCTTAAAACATTTTAAAATACATAATACGGTATTAACTATAAGTACCATGTTTACTAAAGAGCTCCAAAATGTACTTACCTTATTTAAAAGAAATGTTATGTCTCCATCCTCCCAGCCTCTGGTACAACCATTCCATTCGTTGTTTTTATGAATTTGACTATTTTAAGTATCTCACATAAGTGGAATCATATGGTATGTATCTTTCTGTGACTAGTTTATTTCACTTAGTATGATAGCCTACAGATGTCTGATTGTTGTTGCACTGGCAGAAATTTTTAAAGGTTGAGTAATATTCCATTGTGTAGCTAAAGAATGTTTTCTTTATCCATTCTTTGATCAATGGACATGTAGGTTGTTCCCTATCTTGGCTGTTATGAATAATGCTCTCATAAATGTGGAAGGGCAGTTATCTCTCTAAAATGCTAACTTCAGTTCTTTTGGGCATATTCCCAGGAGTTGAATTGTTGAATCATATTGTACTTCTATTTAAATAATTCTAAGAACTTCCAAAAAGTTTTCTACAGTGGTTGCCCCATTTTATATTCCCAGAAATAATATATAAGGGTTTCAAGGTTTTGCATCTGTAGACATATATGTAATTTTTTGTTTTGGGATAATAAACATCCTACTAGATGTGAGGGACTATTTCATTGTGATTTAGATTTGCATAAATATTATGATTCATGACACTGAACATTTTTTTCATATTGGCTATTTGTGAGGTTTTTTTTTTTGAGAAATGTCGATGAAAGTCCTTTGTCCATGTTTAGTTGGGTTATTTATTTCTTCACTATGGAATAGTAGGCATTCTTTGTATAATCTTGGTTATAAAGTTTTATGCAGATACATTGCTTGTACATATTTTCTCATATTCTGTAGATTACCTTTCCAGCTGTTGATTGTTTCTTTTGTTGTATAGAAATTTTTAATTGATGCAGGCCCACTTGTTGATTTTTCCTTTTGTTTGTTTGTGCTTTTGGTATTGTATGCTAAAAATCATTGCCGAAGACCAATGTCAAGAAGCTCTTCCCTTTATTTTCATCTAGGCGTTTTATAGCTTTGAGTCTAACCTTG